GGAACTGGAGTCATAAACAGTTCGTAGCCGCCATGTGGGTGCTAGGAATCGAACCCGGGTCCTCTGCAAGAGCAGTCAGTGCTCTTAACCGCTGAGCCATTTCTCCAGCCCTGACCTGAAAGTTTTTAAGAATTCTTGCATTCTATAGTTTTTTGTTTGTTTGCTTGCTTTAAATTAGTTTCCACTGAAAATGTTAAAAGTTTATCTCAACTGAGAAAATAAAATTTTGCTGGTTTTTGAAAACAGACAATAAGTAGAAAACTAATTTTGGATACTTTTATTATTTTTTTAAAGCTCATTTGTGTGTGTGCTTGTTCATGTCTGTGCATGTGTCTGTGGACATGCATGCACATGTGGACAAGTACATGTGGAGGCCAGAGGACGATTTTGTGTATGTTTCTCAGGACCCATGTGCTTTTGCTTTTTCAGACAAGGTCTCTTGTTGACTGAGTAGACTAGGCTAGCTGGCTAATGAGCACCAAGGATCTACCTGTCTCCACCACCCCAACACTGGGATTACAGTGTGTGCCACCATTCCTGACCTTTTACATGGGTTGTAGGGATTGAATGTAGGTCCTTATGCTTACTTGACAAGCACTTTACTGACCGAGCTATCTTCTTAGTCCATTATTATGGACTTATGCTTATTATGGAAAATTTCAAGCATGCAGAAATAGCCACGTAGCATAATGGACCCTGTCCTTGTCCACCTTCACCTCAGTCTTGTTTCATCTCTCCTTACTACCTCGCCTGTTCACTTCCATGTTGTAGGGCAAGTCTCATGCGATCTGCCCACATTGCGGATTATCACTAAAAGATAAGCTCTTTAAAATAACACCAACTACAATAGTATATAAAAGCAATAGATACTCATTACAGAACAGTAGAATACCCTGTAAGACATTGTCATAGTTTTGGCCCAGAATAAACATTTTGGTACCATATTCTCTCTCTCTCTCTCTCTCTCTCTCTCTCTCTCTCTCTCTCTGTCTCTGTCTCTGTCTCTCGTGTGTGTGTGTGTGTGCTGGAGATGGAACCTAGAGCTTTGCACATTGCTAGGCAAGTAATCTATTACTGAACTATATTCCTACTCCTGTATTTCTTGCCCCATTTTTTACCCTCCAATCTAGATTTTGTTGGGAAATCTGAGATTATTTAGAACTATTATGGGATAGCTTTTCTTTCTAGAGTGAGTTCTGGCAGTTTTTAAAAATAAGTTCTTTTGACTTCCAGAAATTCAGCTTTTAGAAACATGGCTTATTGAAAGTATTTAGCAATATTGTCCAGTGTATACTAGCCCAAACAAGCCTGCCTGTGTGGGAATTAGATTGTTAGGGACTAGCATTTGTGATCCTGAGACTATTCTAGGCTCTTGAGTGAGAGTTCTCTAAAGCAGCATAACAAAGGGAATTTATAATGTTATAAAAAACTCCCTAACCTATTCTTTGTTACCTGTTTCTTTGGGAAAGGAGAAACTTATCACCTTGCACAATTTCTGTAATGTCACACATTTAAAAATTATTTGGTAAGAGCTTAAAATCTACATATATTAGGCAAGAAACAGCAATTAATTTAAGTGAAATGGAGGAAAGAAAAAAAGAAACACCTTACCGACACACAGCAGAATGAGGCTGACTTCCAGTCCAGGCCTGACCTTGCCTCTGCTTGCAGACCTCATTTCTCTGTGTGTTGGAGATGTGTTTGAAGAAAGTGCTATCTTTTTTCTACTTTCTTTATTTAGAAAGGAAGAGCCAAAGAGAGGAACTCCTATTAAGGAAGCATAAGCAGGAAGTTTTTGAAATTGTGTAAAAATGGTCTGTCACCCAGTTTCACCATTTAAAGTTGAGATTTCAACCAAGAGAATCTATAATTTGTCATGACCTGGTGGCTTCTAAACATGGGTTGTTTTGTTTGTTTTGTTTTTATGGACTTTGCAAATCCTCATAGATGTTTGATGTTCTCTGTGAAGGTTTGTTTTACACATAGCACATATTCCCAGGAAGGAGTATGATTTTGCAGACAGTGCTTGAAATCTCGGACACTGGTTTCTGCTGTGGCCCTCTGAGTGCTCCGCTCAGAGCCAGTACCTGCTAGACCTAAAGCAGCAGCAGGAGGCTGTGTCTTCCCCTACAGCTGAGAGAAAAACTAGTGATCCTAGTAGGGTGAAGAAACACACGGTCTGCTGTCAACCACTTGTGCCCATCTTGAATTCAAAGACCCTTTCTTAAGGTGTTGACAGGCAAAGATGTGTGCTTGCTACCCCACCACTCCTGTTCTGGTTCCGTTACCCCCTCGCACCTCCCAAGGTACCACCAGTCGGGTGGTTCTTTATAAGCACAGGAACTGACTCAGACTGATTCAGCAAAAGGAGACTTGTTGACAGGATTTGAGATGGCTCCTGGAGGAACGCCTAGGTCACATTGTGAAAGTGGTCTGACTGCACCGCCACCTGCAGGTACTTGGTGCTGGACACTGTCATTAGCACCCACTCATCCCCTGCCCCAGCCACTTGACGCAGCTGTCTGCACTTAGAGAATGAGCCTCACAGCCCACTTTTGGGTCACTAGAATTCCAGTCTCAGATGAGTGAGTGTGCCTGAGCTGTGGTGATACACAGTGCCCTGCTGCAAGGAAGACTGGAAAAGCAGCTTCCTCTCCCACCAAGAGTTAATTCCCCAGACAGGGAGAGTACGCAGTCCTTTCTGGGTACCCTCGTCACCTGCTGTTGGTATATTTCCTTATTATCAGAAAGCCTCACTCTGAATTTAGTGACACCTAATAGCACTCCCACATCTAAATACACTTTTATTTTTGTATGTGTCTGTGGTCAGTGTCTGGTTTGTCTGTCAACTTAAAGGCCTCTCCGCTTCCCGCATTCCCCAAGCTCCTGGTGCTCATAGGCATGGAAATGGTTGACACATTTCAGTCATGAGTCTAAGAAATGCCAAGTGACTCCTCCATTCTGGTGTTCTGATCTTGGAGCTTTTATGAGAGTCTTCTTTAAGGTTGGGGAATGGGTCACCTTCTCTTGAATAACATATGATGTGTTTTTATAAACTAAAATCCTTCATGAGCCCATTTTAATTTTGAACCAGGTAACTGTAGGTTGTCAGTGGTGGATTTCCTTTCATTGTCCAAAACCTCCTTTCAGTACTATTTCAGGCTAGTTTTCCAACCCATGAACTGTTACAGCCCCCAAAGGAAGTACTATCAGTGCAGGCTCTGGACAGATAACTTGGATTGTGTTTGTCCTCTGATGCTTGATAACTTTGCACCTTTGGGCAAGTTCTATAACTCCTCTCAGTCTGTGCCCACCTACCTAGAGGAGAACTGGCTTGTCAGAGGGCAGTCAGTGCCTGGAGCAGCTCCCCACTCCCTTCCCTCCTTGAGTAATTTGCTTGTTCAAGAATTTAACTTAATGTTTTCATTTGTTTTAGTAGGTGGCAAGTGGGAGAAGCCATCAGAAATTCTGGAAATCAAGGGGCGGAATTGGGAAGAACAGGTGAACAGCCTGCCTGAGGTGTTCGGGAAAGCCGGCTTTGTCATCGAAGCTTTCACCAGACTGCCATACCTTTGTGAAGGTGACATGTACAATGACTACTATGTTCTGGATGACGCAGTCTTTGTTCTCAAACCAGTGTAAACATTGGAGGCCGAGATCTTCAGAGTCTGCCCCGCAATCTGCCCTCCAGAGGAGGGGGCTGCGTCCAGTGATGTGACGGGAGGACCTCTGGGGACTGCCGTTCTCAGTATCATGTAGGAATTTAAAAAGCCAAAATACTAATTCTTTCTTTGTAGTGTGTAAAAGGAATGTTTTTAAAAACAAAAACCCAACTCTTTTGTGTATTTTTATCAACTCTTTACTCAGAGTCACACTCCAATGCAGGTCACTCTCCAATTATGATGGAAGCTATTTTTTATACTTAATTGCTGGAGGGACTCATTCCCAGACAAAGCAATAGTCATGATGTCATGGAACCAGTAAATGGATTGTTTTTAATAAATGAAGACTGGCAATAAAGCTGTCCATTCAATCCCAAGTATTGGTTATAAGGTAGAGCCACTGATACTCTGTCATGTTTAGAAACTGTTACTATTCAAGAGAATGTTTTTAATCATGCTAATAAACTTTTTTGGAGATGACTCTGGCATCATGTTTGACTTGCTCTCAGGCTCCCCGAGCACTCTCTACAGCTTTGGTTTAGGAGCGCCCAGTAGGAGCATGATGTGAGAGGTGCAGGCTGTATGGGAAGGAAGGCTTCAGCCTGGGCAGAGTGGAGAGTGCAACTTGTAGAGAACCCCAGACAGTCCTGATGCCCCTAAAGCGAGCAGCCTCATTCAGAAGCAGCACTCCAGGATACACCTTGGCCAGGCAGTACTGCTTCAAGAAATGCAGAGCAGCTCTGCTGCCCATCCTCCCCCACAGCTTTGCTTTCTGGACTACCTCAGGTCCTCAAGATTGAAACATTCCACTGTGTTGACTGACAGAATGCAACCTGAAAATGTCTTAATTCAACTTCTTCCTCTACACTTGTATACCTCTTTCCCAGAACTTGGCTCACCCCCAAATCCTTAAGTGAGTTTAGTATTTGCCAAGAATATGAATGGTTTGCTGAAGGCCACATCAGACACATTCTAAAATCCAGAGTGCCTCCTACAATGAACCCAGAAACATGGTGCTAGAGGAACTCATTAGCAAGACCAATCACCATTGTGGATATTCCAAAGAGCAGGGCACTTAACCCAGAATCTACAGTCCCAGTAGTAGCACAGATGGCAGCTTGAGACTCTGGGTATTCACAGTATGTTCTCACAAGTTTCATTTTTTAAATCCAGGTATTTCATTAAGCATTCTCATTTAATACTCATAGAAGTCCTCAAACCAACACATTTAACTATAATACCTGGGTATAAAGGAATTTGAAGCATGGGGAAGAGCATTTGGTACTCCTTGGGAACAGTGCTCCCGCACCCTCACACCAGCTTTCTCCACAGTTACTGTGTAGTCCTGAGAGTTGAGTCTTGTGATTTATACAGAATTGTTATCGGTGTGTCCTAATGATTTTTTCCCTAGGACTTCGGATAAATGAAGTGCAAACAGCACCCTGGACTGTAAACAGAGGAACTGAGCAACCCTAATGTACTTCTGAAAGTGGAGGTCTGCTTATGAGCTGTCATCAGGGTTGCTGTTGAATACCATCAGACAAGAGTGATGGACATTCAGAGAGACAGATGGCCTCGAAGTGTCTCATAACTTTGAGGTTGAGGATTAATTTGATGGTCTGTTAAAAAAGACTATAACTCATGCTTTATCCAGAAACAAGAGAAGGCATATACATTTATGCATTTTAAAGACAGTTTCTTAAGAAAATATGAGGTTTCTGAAGACCAGTTTATTAAAAAAAATGCCATTTTGTGGCACCAAAAATCAAATGTTCTCTCATCTTTCTGGTCTGGAAAGTCTTGGTGTTGTGTCACCTTTCCACTAGATGGTAGTGTTGCTTACGAAGTGTCAATGCCCTGCCCCCTCATGGCATCATTTTTTTTTTTCCCCTCCCAAATACAATAAAGCTGCCTTCTTGTGTGCACCAGTCCTTGTGTAAGTGCTTCATATCGAGTTAGGGCTGTTAGAGAAATCAAGAAGAGCTCCATCTGTGTTCAGGCAGGCTTGCCAATTCAACTGAAAGGTGAGTGCGGAAAGGAAATACAAGCTGCACCTGGGATTCTGGCCCTTTGCACCTGCAGTCAAAACCCCTAGAATGTTCAGATCACTGATTTCAGAGGAGGGAGAGAAAGAAGATACAGCGTCTTTAAGTTGTTTCTGTTTCAGTGAATGAGATCATTAAAACCTGCTGCATTTTCCACCATCCCGTTTGACTCCCCCCCCCCCTTTAAATAGTTAACTTTCAACAGAAAACAAATGAGTCTGGAAAGTAAAAGTGTTTTCAGCCTCTGCGTGAAGCTTTGCAGTTCTGAATCTATTGGTACTATTGTAATGAAGCAGGGTGTTTTATCAGCTGCCCCCTACCATTTGATTAGTAACGTGGTTCGTGATCTTTAATAATGAATTCATCCCAGTTTCCAGTTGCTCAAGTGACCTGCCACGTTTGTGCAGGTGCCGAAGTGCTTGCGAATGACCTTACAGTCCTGTATCTGTATGCACTCTAGCTGGAAGGCAGAGCACAAACTTGGGCTCCTAATTAGCTTGAAACAAGGATGCTCACAGACTTACAGTCTACTTATCAGAGATGCAGCATGATGGACTGGGGAGATGATTCAGCAGTAAAGTGCTTGCTGAGTGAGGACCCAAGTTCAAGTGGTTGTGGTGGTCCACTTGTAATTTCAGCGTGTGGGAGTCAGAGACAGAATCCCTGGAGCAAGTTGGCTAGCCAGATTAGCTGAAAGAGCAAGCTCCAAGTTCAGTTGGAGACCCGGCCTCAATATATAAGATGGAGTGTGATCACGGAAGATACCCAGTGTCAACCTTGGGCCTACACGTACACACACTCACATATACACACAGTGTTCCCTTGCATACACAAGCACACACACCATATAATGGAAGTTCATATTGTATACACCCTAAGAATTGTGATTTAAATGAGAAAAGTGTACCCAGAAATTAAACTGTACTGCAATATGAGATGCAATAGTCTATTTGTAACTCATGGGTAATGAGGCATTGGCTACTAGCAGTGAACAGTGGTTCAAAATTTCACATATACTGCACTGACATAGACATTCATACCTTGCTACTTTATCAAGTTAATATATTAATATCTGTAGGAATTGGTTCTAACATTTTAGTTGTATCTCATTTTTTACCTACTTTTAAAGTAAACTTCCTTGGGAATAATCCTAGTTTCCCCCAGTCTTAGCATTTAATATTCTCATGCTATATTGCAGGCTATTGGGATTTTGCTAGTGCTCTTCTCCTGTCCTAGTATCCAAGACACCCCACTGTTACTAGTTAGCTCTCAATTGCTGTGATACAATACTGACCAAAAACAACTTGGGGAGGAAAGGGTTTATTTCACTTTACAGTTCACGTTGCAGTCCATTATAGAGGGAAGCCAGGCAGGAACTCAGGGTAGGAACCTAGAGGCAGGGCTGAAGCACAGACCATGGAGGATGCTGCTTACTGGCTCGCTCCCCTGTCCTGTGCCCAGTCTGCTTTCTCATACAACCTAGAACCACCTGCCCAGGGGTGACACCGGCCCCAGTGGGCTGAACCCCCCATATCACTTAGCAATCAAGAAAACACCCCATAGACACGTCACTGGCTAATCTGATGGAGGGAATTCCCAGTTGGGGTTCTTTCTTCCTAGGTGTGTCAAGTGACAACTGAAGCTATTCAGCACACCCACTCAGATTTAGCTGTGTGTGTGTTTTTAACTGTCATTGCTTACTGAAATAGAATGTCATTTTTATTTTTTCCAATTTTTATTGTAGTCAAAACATGTACCCTAAAATAACCACTAGTCATTTTCAATAACATTTAGTCATGGTGGGTACCCATTATTACCGCCAATCTCTAGAATGCTTCATCTTGCCAAACTGCAGCTCTGTCAACCATCTCTCCGTGCTGATTCCCAACTCCTCGCAGCCACCCTTCATTCCACGTTCATGGCTTTCCGTGTTCCTTGTGTACATGGAATCAGAGAGGATTTGTCTTTGCGGCTGGCAAATTTCACTCAGCATGTACTGTCCACAAGTTGTATACATGTTATAGCAGGTGTCAGAATTTTCTTTTAAAGACAATAATATCCCATTGTATGGCATACCACATGTTGCTTATCTATTTGTCCATGGGTAGACAAAGTATCTAATGCTGCTGTGCATATGAATGTACAAATACTTCAAGACTCTGGTTTCACTTTTTGGGGGTAGATACCAAAAGTGGAACTACTGAATCACATGGTAATTCTATTTTTTTTTTTTTTTGAGGAACCATCATCCTATTTTCCACGATGAGAATCATTTTATATTCCCACCAATGGTGAACAAGAATTCCAATTTCTCCATATCCTTGCCAACATTTATATTGTTAAAATTTTTAAAAAATATTTTATTATTTTTTATTTTATGTGTATGAATGTATTGCCTGCATGTATGTGAGTGCACCCATGTAGTGCAATGCCGCAGAGGTCAGAAGAGGGCTTTGGATACCCCTGGAACTGGAGTTAAAGATGGTTCATAGCCACCACCACGTGGGTGCTGGGAATTGAACCCGGGTCCTCTGCAAGAGCAGTCAGTGCTCTTAACCGCTGAGCCATCTCTCCAGCCCCTATATTGTTAAATTTTATGTGTATGAGTGTTTTGCCTGCATGTATGTAAGTGCACACATGCATGCAATGCCTACGGAGGCCAGAAGAGGATGTCAGAGCCCTTGGAACTGGAGTTAGGGACTGTTGTTAGCAGCCTT